ATATCGCTGCAAAAATCGCTCGATAAATCGCTCAGTGTGAAGAGGGCCTAAGGCCCCTGAGAAATCACGTTCTGTACACTGTGTATAGGACGTGAGGATGCAGAGGGACATACCATTGCTGCAGCAGGGGAGTAGACAGCCTCCAGGCACTGGTCTAAGAGCAAGTCGGCTTGCGAGACAAAAACGAGCACTTAACCCTTGCAGTGGGGGGTAGCCCCACTGCAAGGGTTAAGAACATTTTCCCCCGGAGTTCTGCTTTAAATTAAAGTTGCTGCCGTTAGCCCATGCCTACCTGAGAGCCCCCACCCCCCCCGAGTGGTTCACTGCATTGTACGACCACAGTAAAGTCACAGTAAGCCCCGTCCAGACTGGGACCCCCTGGTAAACTGATGAGGCATGGGCCCAATACAGGATGATTGCCTCCACCCCCCTATCGGTGGCCTGGCCCTGTGCACAACACACGGCAAACACATATAAACGCAGCAAGTCATGCTTCGCAAGGGAAAATGGGGGCTTATTGATTCAAGATATATTAGCGGTTTAATTTCATATAATGATGATATTTATAGTCAGCAGTGAATGATTTACTTTGAGCCAGATCATACCAGGATGGGGCTCATAGTGAGCACCCCAGTCACTGGCTGATATTGGGCACATTGTTGGCTGGTTATTTGACGTGAGCAATTTGTGAGGGTTTCATATCTTGTGCAGATACTCATATTATGTCTACATTTAGGATATACAGTATAGTATTCATAACGTTTACAAATCTTTATATTATTTGTGTATATAGATTAGTGCAGACAACGTGCAGGGGACTGTTTAGTCATCTGAACTTTACATGTACATTGTTCTCTTCTCCCACACACTCTGTGGTTCTGGTTCTAGAGGTAAAGTTTCACACAACACATGAGCAGCGGGGTACTCCAGTTTTTTTTTAAAAGATTAACCCTTGCAGTGGAGCAGCCCCTGCACTGCAAGGGTTAAGATTGTTCTCTAGGGGCAAAAATAAAGAAGACATACTGATCCTTGGTCCTGCGGCAGTGACCGCTCACCTCTCTAACATTCCACTCTGGCTGTGATATGTCCCTTGACGTCCTCACGTCTAATGGACCTGCATTAGATGTGATGATGTCATGGGTCCTTAGACTGACAGAGTCCGGTGAAGAAGAGGATTTTGGGACCAGCCTAGCAGCCAGGCAGGGCTGAGGATTTCTTCATTATTTTTGCCCATAAACAAAATGAGCACTTGGCCTTTGCAGTGTGGGGCTCCCTCTGCACTGCAGGGGTTCATTTGTAAAAATCCTGGAGCTCTTCAAGTCATAAAAAGTCAGCTATGAATGAACCTGAAGCACATAGTTCATTGTATAATGGCCACTGTACTGATTCACACACTATCTTGCTGCAGCTCTGAATCCTACAACAGCATACCAGTGAAGACAAGTACTGACATGATCAGTAATTGAAGTGCCAGCTATTATTTTGCATCACGATGAAGGTGCAGGTATGAGTAATACAGACAGTTTGGGGGAAGGGGAGTATTAAGAAGCTGTTCCAGCTGTTGAAAATCTTCATGAGAGTAATATAAAGGCTGTCATTGCCAACCTGTCCATCTGAAATTACTAGCTGCCTGGCTGCCATGTTAACGCTTGCTTCAATACACTGAGTCAATGACACAGAACAAGTATGCAGGTACGGACTCCTGACTCTTCTCGGACTTTCCTTGAGCTGCCTATTTGATGCACTACAGTGACTCATAGTATTAAAACCAGGACTAAGGGATCAGGAGAATAGCATTTTCATAAAATCCAGCCATAGTTAACTCATGAGGTTTATTTTACATTATTGAGCACAGCAGGGGTACTATGGAGCATTAGATGTGTTGGTTATTATACGCAGGGGGATTTCGGATATCCTGGAAAACTCTACAACCAACCATTCGGTGATTGCTGTATGTCTGCCAAAGGAAACTCAATGACCTCTTTAACAAGAATATGCTGCATAGAAAAGTCAGCTGAACCGAGGATTAACGTTGCATTACACCCAATGCACTCATTGATCATCTGTTCACCAATCAGCAGTAAAAAGGTCCACTTCCTGACTCCTAGACCACAAGACTGTCATAAACAAATGTTTAAAGCGGACCCCTAGGAAAAGTAAATATTACCTAAATACAAGAGACATGTGTATTCTTACATCAATATTGACGTGCTTTGTTTATTTCCAGATCTGGGCACTAACCCAGTGTGAAACGTTGCCTCTGTGCAGGAGCTTCCTATAATAAAGACCAATCACTGCTGCTCTCTCTCCTTGTGCAGGTGACTGGTCTAGTATCTGCCCCCTCTTGTAGACAGCCTGTAGTGGGTGGAGTCTGTTGGGCCCCTCCCACAGCTCTGCTCAAGCTGTGTGCAGCACAGTGATGTCAATTCTTTTTACAATACAATATCTGGGTTTTCAAAAGCATTTCTTGCACACAAAGTGGATTTCTATCCTTTGTGGCTATCGAGGAGTACCGTATATTTAAATGAATGTTTTTGTGCCCGGAGTTCAGTTTTAATAAAGCTTTCATTTTGTAACATGCACTGCAGAAATTAAAATGGCGGCACTACCCATCTGTGATGATGCTGCAGCCTTTCATTTTCCGAATGGCTTCACTAAACAGAATCCACCACTGAGGAAAGTTAATACTCAAGAGACTAAGGCTGGCCATACGCCTGTCAATTTCTTCTGTTCAACTCGCGGGCTGAACAAAAGAAATTGACGCGATTCCTCCAGCAACTCAAACAGTGTGTCGATTGAGGAATCGCCGCTGTTTGCATTGTATGCGGGCACCTGTCAGAATACCTGATTAGAGGAGGCGGCTCATTGGCTGCCAGCTCTGATCGCACAAAGATTTCCCTGCAGGCTCCATTGATCAGCTGATCGAGGAATGCTGGCTGAAAAGGAGCCGACAGCCCCACACACTGTGAGAATTGCGGCTATTACATTAAAAATCGCCCGAAATTTGCACAGTGTATCGGCACCTTAAAGAAGGCACTTCAAACATCAGCCCTGGGTATGCAGTAACGGCCCAAAAGTCTTGTGTACGAGTTACGGATTGGACAATTTTTCTGCAATTTGAAACACTTCTAACCAGCAATTAATTATAAATACAAATCAAGGAAACCTCCCGCCAACCAATTGATTCCTTGCAGGGTTTCAGCACAGTGGTTGGGCCTTGACGCTCATGGCTGTTTTTGCAATAGGAACCTGGTTGATAATGTTCGGATTGCCTGTGTGTCATAGGAGACGAGATGGCCATCACCAGACACAGCCCACACCACTCACTGGCACCCTGTGACCCTTTGATAAGAGTCCGGGCTGATTGTTCTCCAGGGGATTTTCCTGAGTGGCCACTACTGTCCCCCTGATAAAAGATTGCTGGAGTTCATAGTGACTGAGATCCTCTGTCTTGTGGCAGTACAAGGTATGGTGGTGGAGATTCATGTACGGTTCGGTAATCGGATCACAAGCATTTCTCCTGTGAAATGGCCGAGTTTTAAGGCACAGAAGCTATCTGGAGAAGTTGCAGGGGAATCTGAAGATAAGTGTTGCTGCGGAATTGTCTTACAGATGCGACATGTGCAACACAATCAACTATTTATTCCGACATGGAAGTGGTCATATTTACCTCCACCTTTCTCATCTTTTTGCATCAATAGCTCCAGTAAGAGGGTCACACATAAGAACTTCTCAAATTTGTCACACCTATTGGTGCCAACAGTGACAATATTGCAGGAATGTTATGAATTTGGCAGAAGGATTTCAACTACATGCACACCGCTAGGAATGGGTCGCAAATACCAGATTGAAAATCCCCTCATGTGTGCTGGGGGCATAAACGTGCATGCTCGGCTGACATGGCCATGTACTATATGTCTATGCAAGAACAACACTGCAGAAGTCAATCACCTCATGTCTATGGCTAACGGTATCCCTGACAGAATTACAATCCCCATACCCAGCTATCCTCTATAAAATATATAATTATCCAGCGTACTAATATCTTCTATGCAGTGTGCTTGTCCTCTATGAATATGTCTGTACAGTATCTGGTTATCCTCTATACAGTATAATTATCCTATAAATAGTATACAGTGTTTGGTTATCCTCTGTACAGTGTATGGTCATCCTTTATACAGCATATGGATATCCTCTACACTGTGTACAGGTATCCTCTATACAGTATATGGTTATCCTGTACACAGTGTATTATCCCCTACACAGTATATGGTTATCCTGTACACAGTATATGGTTATCCTGTCCACAGTGTATTATCCCCTACACAGTGCATTATCCCCTACACAGTATATGGTTATCCTCTCTATACAGTGTATGAGCCTTTATACAGTATATGGTTATCCTGTACACAGTGTATGATCCTCTATACAGTGTATGATCCTCTATACAGTATATGGTTATCCTCTACACAGTGTATGATCCTCTATACAGTATATGGCTATCCTGTACACAGTGTATGATCCTCTAGTGACTAGAGGATCATACACTGTGTACAGGATAGCCATATACTGTATAGACTAGAGTCTAGTCTATACAGTATATGGCTATCCTGTACACAGTGTATGATCCTCTATACAGTATATGGTTATCCTGTATACAGTGTATGGCTATCCTGTACACAGTATATGAGTCTCTGTTAGAGACTCATATACTGTGTACAGGATAGCCATACACGACTCTCTATATACGATTCCAGCACTATGTATCATGACACTGGTAGCACTCATGGCTTGACATAGCTCGCAGCCTTCCATACAAGTGCAATGACCGCATATCGGCACACCATTCACCCCACATTGCCAGCTCCGTGTCCCCAGCCCCCCCATTCCCAGCTAGTCCTCTCTCCTCTGCAATGAATTAGAGACACGCAGATTTGGCTGTGATCCTCGCACGGAGCGCAGTCAGCAGATCTCGGGGAGAAGCTCTCGCTGTGTCTTACCTCGTCCACTGTTAATGGCATACAGATCCGGTACTCCTTCACCAGCATCCTGGGCCCGGCGCCGCTTCTACACTCCGCAAAACTTTACCGGGTTCTTGTGCCGAGCAACCCTCACCTCCAGTGTGAGCTTCTCCTCCTCTCTGGGCACACCTCAGTGATAGTGACTGAGCGGCTCCACCTCCCTCCCCAATATTAACTCATTCCCAATCCTCCACACACTGCGGAGACACAGCCATTCCGACACCCAGGACCTCCTCCGTCCCCGAAACACCCTCCACCTCCCATGTACCTCTCATATACACCCTCCACCTCTCTTATACACCCTCCACCTCCAATATACACTCTCCACCTATAATGTACACCCTCCACCTCTCATATACACCCTCCACCTCTCTTATACACCCTCCACCTCTCTTATACACTCTCCACCTATAATGTACACCCTCCACCTCTCTTATACACCCTCCACCTCCCATATACACCCTCCACCTCTCATATACACCCTCCACCGCTCATATACACCCTCCATCTCCAATATACACTCTCCACCTCTCATATACACCCTCCACCTCTCATATACACCCTCCACCTCCAATATACACCCTCCACCTCCAATATACATTCTCCACTTATAATGTACACCCTCCACCTCCAATATACACTCTCCACCTATAATTTACACCCTCCTCCTCTCATATACAACCTCCACCTCCAATATACACTCTCCACCTATAATGTACACCCTCCACCTCTCATGCACACCCTCCACTTCTCATATACACCCTCCATCTGTAATATACACATTCCAACTCTCATATACACCCCCCACCTCTCATACACACCCTCCACTTCTCATATACACCCTCCACCTATAATGTACACCCTCCACCTCTCATGCACACCCTCCACTTCTCATATACACCCTCCATCTGTAATATACACCCTCCACCTCTCATGCACACCCTCCACTTCTCATATACACCCTCCATCTGTAATATACACCCTCCACCTCTCATGCACACCCTCCACTTCTCATATACACCCTCCATCTGTAATATACACCCTCCACCTCTCATGCACACCCTCCACTTCTCATATACACCCTCCACCTATAATGTACACCCTCCACCTCTCATATACACCCTCCACCTCCAATATACACTCTCCACCTATAATGTACACCCTCCACCTCCCATGCACACCCTCCACCTCCAATATACTCTCTCCACCTATAATGTACACCCTCCACCTCTCATGTACACCCTCCATCTGTAATATACACATTCCAACTCTCATATACACCCTCCACTTCTCATATACACCCTCCACCTATAATGTACACCCTCCACCTCTCATGTACACCCTCCATCTGTAATATACACATTCCAACTCTCATATACACCCTCCACTTCTCATATACACCCTCCACCTATAATGTACACCCTCCACCTCTCATATTCACCCTCCACCTCTCATGCACACCCTCCACCTCTCATATACACACTCCATCTGTAATATACACCCTCCACCTCTAATGCACACTCTCCACCTCTCGTATACACCCTCCATCTATAATTTTTCCCCCCTGAACCTCTAATATACCCCTTCCACCTCTCATGTACATCCTCCACCTCTCATGTACACCCTCCACCTCTCATGTACACCCTCCACCTCTCATGTACAGCCTTCACCTCTCATGTACAGCCTTCACCTCTCATGTACAGCCTGCACCTCTCATGTACAGCCTTCACCTCTCATATACACCCTCCACTTATATACTCCCCATCTCTATTAGACACCCTCCACCTCTAATATACTCTCCACCTATAATATACACTCTGCATCTAAAACATGATCACCACCTCTAATATACTCTCCACCTCTATGATACTCTACACCTATAATGCACTCACCACTTCAAATACACTATATTACCAAAAGTATTGGGACGCCTGCCTTTTCACACACAGGAACTTTAATGGCACCCCAGTCTTAGTCCGTAGGGTTCAATATTGAGTTGGCCCACCCCAGCTATAACAGCTTCAACTCTCCTGGGAAGGCGTCCACAAGGTTTAGGAGTGTGTCCATGGCAGGGGTGCCCATTAGGTAGATCGCGATCAGCTCACTGACATGAGCTCCCTCCTGCGGTGCTAGTGCTGCTGAATGTGTCAGACGCCGCAGACTGGAAGGGGCGGGACACCTCTCCCTGTGTACAACATCGGCAGATAGAGATAGCAGATAGAAACGGGACAGAGCGAGGAGAGAGAGAAGAGACGGCCGAGAGAGGGCCAGTTCGCACCACAAAGTCTGCGTTCCAGAGTGTTCGGCCTCTAGAATGCACAGAAACGCAAGCTGGCTTGCCGCATTTTTGCAGATCGCACTAGACCGGAATGCAGGCACTTATGTGCCTGTTTTTCGCGGGTGCGTGCGATCGCTCTGCAGGCAGGGGGCGTGGCTGCTGTGCCATTGACTTCAATGCACCGCCATGCCCCCTTCCGCCCATGAACACTTGTCATTTGAAAAGTAGATCTCCAGACGAAAAATTGTCGGCACCCCTGGTCTATGGGAATGTTTGACCATTCTTCCAGAAGCGCCTTTGTGAGGCCAGGTACTGATGTTGGACGAGAAGGCCGGGCTCGCAGTCTCCACTCTAATTCATCCCAAAGGTGTTCTATCGGGTTGAGGCCAGGACTCTGTGCAGGCCAGTCAAGTTCCTCCACCCCAAACTCACTCATCCATATCTTTATGGACCTTGCTTTGTGCACTGGTGCGCAGTCATGTTGGAACAGGAAGGGGCCATCCCCAGGGGCATGGCCCGAGGGCCCTCTGCCGTCAAGGGGCCTGTCACCGACCATCCCCTCGCCGCCGCCCCTCTGCCACCTGCGCCCGGTCAGCCCGCCCGCATCAGATGTGGCTCTGTAATTGCCTGTACATGAGAGGTGGAATGGGTATATTAGAGGTGGAGGGTGTATATTACATACGAGGCAATCCGGGCTGGCTGGATCAGGCAGACACGGCCCTCTAATCAGGCATTATAGAGGGCCACCCGCTGGGGGCCAGTGGCGTAACCAGAGTTGCGGTCGCCCGGGGCAGAACAACATTTTGCACCCCCCCCCCCAACCATTATATCACCACCTCATCCATACTGCTGTCCCTCTGGTTTGAAGGATAATTCAATACAATACACAATACATTATACAGCAATGCAGAATGGCAACTGGCTATAGAGGACTACAAATCCCAGCAATGCATTATACAGCAATGGAGAATGGCATCAGGCTACAGAGGACTACAAATCCCAGCAATACATTATACAACAATGGAGAATGGCATCCGGCTACAGAGGACTACAAATCCCAGCAATACATTATACAACAATGGAGAATGGCATCCGGCTACAGAGGACTACAAATCCCAGCAATACATTATACAACAATGGAGAATGGCATCCGGCTACAGAGGACTACAAATCCCAGCAATACATTATACAACAATGGAGAATGGCATCCGGCTACAGAGGACTACAAATCCCAGCAATACATTATACAACAATGGAGAATAATATGAAGCTACATACTCTATGTTGCTCTGGGTTCGCCGCCTGACGTCTCCAGGGTCTCAGAAGGGTTGTGCCGGCTCTCAGGAGGTTGTGTGGGCTCTCAGGTGGCCAGTGTGGGCTTTCAGGTGGGCTGTGCGGGCTCTCACCAGGGGTCCAGAGAGTTTCCCGGGTGCGTGCAAGTGCAGTAGAGGCGGCTCCCTAATTAGGCTCTCAGGTGGCCAGTGCCATTTAGCTCACTTTCCAAATTGCCTATATTGGTCTAGATTTTGAAATTCTCCTACCAGTTCCCCAGCAATTCATCTCTTGAATTGGCCCGCTATTTGAAAAATGTGGAGAAAACATTTCTGTGACACAAGAATGTCTATGCAGGTGGGGCGTGTGGGAGGGACTTGTATTAGGGCGGAGCACAAGGGGGCCCCATAATCTTTTATTGCCTTATGTGTTGTCAGTCCGCCCCTTGCCATCCCCAAACTGTTCCCACAAAGTTGGGAGCTTGAAATTGTCCAAAATATCTTGGTATGCTGATGCCTTAAGATTTCCCTTCACTGGATCTAAGGAGCCAAGCCCAACCCCTGAAAAACAACCCCACACCATAATCCCCCTCCACCAAACTTTACACTTGGCACAATGCATTCAGGCAAGTACCGTTCTCCTGGCAACCGCCAAACCCAGACACGTCCATTGGATTGCCAGACAGAGAAGTGTGATTCGTCCCTCCAGATAACTCATCTCCACTTCTCTAGAGTCCTGTGGCCGCGTGCTTTACACCCCTGCATCCGACGCTTTGCATTGCACTTATATTGCACGTATATCAGAGGTGGAGAGGGTGAGTGTGTATCAGAGGTGGAGAGGGTGAGTGTATATCAGATGGGGAGAGGGTGAGTGCACATCAGAGGAGGAGAGGGTGAGTGCGCATCAGAGGGGGAGTGTATATGAGAGGTGGAGAGGCTGAGTGTAAATGAGAGGGGGAGAGGCTGAGTGTATATCAGAGGAGGAGGAAGAGAGGGTGTGTATTAGAGGAAGAGGGAGTAAATGGGTATTAGTTATGGATAGGGTGAGTGTGCATTAGAGGAGGAGAGGGTGAGTGTATATCTGAGGAGGAGAGGCTGAGTGTGTATTAGAGGTGAAGATTATTTAGTTTTTGTAGAGTGTATTACAGGTGAAGGGAGTACTTCACCTGTAGTACTGTACTCCCTTCACCTGTAATACACTCTACACAAACTAAATAATCTTCACCTCTAATACACACTCACCATCTCCTCCTCAGATATACACTCACCCTCTCCACCTCTGATATACACTCACCCTCTCCACCTCTGATACACACTCACCCTCTCCACCTCTGATATACACTCCCCCTCTCATCCACCCACCCCCCCTCACCCACAGATGCACACTCCCCCTCTCCCCCTCTGATGCACACTCCCCCTCTCCACCTCTGATGCACACTCCCCCTCTCCACCTCTGATGCACACTCCCCCTCTCCCCCTCTGATACGCATGCCCTTTTCCTCTATCTTTTATACAATCATAATGCTTCAATCCCTCAACCATAAGGCTGAATTATTTTTGCTTTCCTGATTGATTTCT